AAAAAAAAAAAAAATTACATTACAAAAAATTACGTTACAAAAAAATTACATCTATATAACTAAAAAAATTTTCATTGAAATTTTATGCATAAGAACGTGTAAACAAATATAAAATCTTTTTATTTTATGTAAATTAAGTAAATTTGATTGAATTTACTAAATTTGTTTTCATGAAAAAATTTCAAAAGATAGTCGGAGTACGGATTAGAAAAACTCCAATAGTCCAATTAATATTACAAAAAATCTTTATTTATATGTTTATTTTAATTTTACCCTTTATAGAAGAAATAATTGGAATACGCAATAAGAAGTCTATTCAAAGATTCCAAAAAAGTCAAAATTGGTCATCTTCGGAGATAAGCAAATTTACAATGGATTGTCAAAGAATTTTAATAATCGAATTCGCTCATTCATTCAAAGATTCCAAAATTGTTGTGACGTAACTGGTGACTTCAAAGATTATCTTCAATTTTTGATTGTAAAAAAAAAGTAAGTCCTATTACTCCTATGTATAATAAAATGTAACCATTATTTATCCCTGCTTAATAGTAATGTGCATATTATTTTTAATTTAAAAAAAATTATAACAAAATGAGAATAATAATTTAATTAAAAATTCTAAAAAAAATCTGACGTACTCCAAAAAAAAAAAAATTCTTTACCCTTTTTCTTTTCCTTTTTTTTTTTAAAAAAAAAAGTAAAAAAATTTAATTACTCAATTTATTACAACTCTGAAAAAAATTTTAAAATGAAATTAAATCATATATCACTTTTTATATCCCTATCGATAATTTTATTAACATTATCATCAGTAAAATCATCAATCATCTTTGAAGAAAACCAACCTTTATCTGCAGAAATACCCAGAGTGTTCAATATAGATTGTTATGATGATAACACGATGGTCGTTAGAATAGTTCGTAAAGATCCTTCCAATTAAATATGCAACCTTTTAATTTTTGTATTCCTCCAAAATATTTAAAAGCAAATCCTCTTAGATTTTATCCCGTCAAAAAAAATTTTTTGTTAATAACTTACGCGGAAGCTGATGATATAACCAATCCTTTCACTTATAATGATTGGGGAATTGTTATCGACTTAGATGGAGTAATTCACAGGTAATAAATAAATTTTTCTTTAAATATACAATACAGTAAATAAAAATATAATACTTACTTCCTTTATAGTAAAATTAAGCTGGGACCATTGTACGTTAATAACACTACTAAAGAATGGAAGCCAGGTCAAGATTCCATCACGCTAAATGTTCATCGTGATAATGGATTTATCCGAACCGCTCCTATAACAAATTCTACTGGTTTTTCTTTACAGCAATTTAAAATGTAATTTATCCTATTAATAAATTTTTAATTTTTAATTATAAAATCATAGATTAAAATTAATTTAATATTCGTATATTCCCTTTTTTAAGCGATGAAAATGGAGGCATACAACAGATTGTAGAAACTGTTAACATATTTCCTACAGGTCACCCGCTCGAAACAGTTGCAACGATGGACGGAGGGTACGCGCTTATTTATCCTAATAATACGGGACTTACAGGTTCAAACCCCATTTCAACAACTCCTCTTACTCCACAGTTTGGAATTTACTTCTTGTTATTAGGATATGAAAAAGGAATCACACAAGGACCATTCGTACTTTATCAAACATTGACTCCAATAAATGTTCTTTTACTTGATTGTGATTTTACTTATGTAGGAGTTGGACAAACTTGTATAATAATTGCAAACTCTACACAATCTGATAAGACATTTATTAAAATTGATTTTCTTTCATCAGGAACTGTATATAATATTACTACTTTTCAAAATATAAATGTTACAGATTATAGTATTCAATCATTAAGATATGGAGGTTATTTATCTTATTATTTAGTACGAAATAGTGATAAAAAAAACTTTAATATTTATGGTTATATTTATGGTTATATTTTGGATTATTACGGTATCCTCTTTAATTGGGACCTTACATATCCCACGTTGGCAAATCCTGTAGCTGATGTTTTAGTTTTACCAAATAACACACTTGTAATTCCTCAACCAGAGGAAGGAAATAGTTGGTCTTTACTCACCACTGATTTGTATAAAATTGAGGGGGAACGAGGTAACGTAACACAGAAATTCTTTTTTTTTTTTTTTCTTAATACCTTTTAAACTTATATATAAACTTTTTATATTTCTTTTAGATCATGGTTATAGTATTTTACATATCAATACCACAATTCCTAAAATTGGTGATGTCATAGACCCATCCGAAACTAAATTTCTTATAATTAAATATTATAATAAAATTGTTTTATCACCAAATCGTAATATTACAATTTTACAAGATGATGGTACTAGTCATGGTATTATACGTCAAATAACTTCTATGACTTCTACTGGTAACAATGGATATGACAAATTTGTGGAACTTATTGATGATGAATTTAGTTCTATTATTAACATTACAATAATTAATAGTACGTTTAATAAACCTGGTGGAAGATATTATGTTTTAATTGATGATGGTTTTGCAAGTAGTAAAGATTATCATGAACCTATGATTGGTATACAAAGTAGCGCTTGGAATTTTACAACTCGTAAGTATTTTATTTATAATGAATTCATATAAGTAAAACTTATAATTTCTTAAAATAATTTATCTTTTTTTTTTTTAATAGTCCAAGAAGATGATCATGCAAATAGTATAAAAGAGAAATATCGAAAAAAAGTAAATTCTACTAGAATTGAAGGAAAAGTTCGATTAACATTGGATGGTACCAATTATTTTAAAAGTATTAAACATGATAAAATTAAACGTAAAGAATTTTTTAATAATTTAACACAAGAATTAGTTAAAGCGATCCCTGTTAGTTCAGAACGAGTAACTTCAAATGGAAGACATGAAATTGATACTTCAGTTTCTCCTGAACAATATATTTTATCTATTAATATTGAAAAAGCTAAGAATGAAGATGAAAATTCAGTTAATTCAGTAGCTGATGATTTAGATACTTTAATAAAGAATAAATTTATAACTCTTATTGGATCTGGTGAATATTCAAATTATTTGGATCATGAATATGGATATGTAACCATACGTAAGAATATTTTCTGAGAATTTTATTTCAAAAAAAAAAAAAATATTTTTTAAAAACGTAATCGACTTTAAATTAATTTTTACCTTTAAAAAATACTTTAAATTTTTGTGAATAATAGCTAGGTGGATAGAGGATAATTGGAAAAACCTTATTATAACAGTTTTATTTAATATTGTATTATTCACATTTTCCTTTAAGGTAAATAAAAATATACATAATTATAATTATTATAAATTTCAATCAAAATAAATAAACAAAATACATTTTTTTTCTTTTATTAGAAAGGCAATTTTGCAATTTATGATTGTGGAAACGCTATCGAAGAATTCGCAACGACAATTCTTTTTACTAGTATAGATGCAGGATCTGTTGAAAATATTTTTACCACAAGGTAAAATCCAATTAAATAATTAAGTAAAAAAGTTTCCCCCAAAAAAATTATTTACACTATTTTACACTGATTTTTTTTTTACATCTCTTAGTATTTTCTTTGTGACATTTCCGTTTATTGTAAATTTGGGATTTGCATTTATAATTATAATTGATGAACTTACGAAAACCGACCTTAAAAAATCATTAACAAAAGTTAATGAGCTGTTAAATAATGAAACCGATCATAAAAAATCAGAAAAAGCTAGCAACCATCCAGAAATAGTCAGCGATCACGATCATACAGAAGATACGAACGATCATACAAAAGATATGGAAATAGAAGTAGCCGGCGATCCCGATCATACGAAAGATAAGAAAATAAAAGACGGTGGTTCCAATCCCAAAGAAGAATCAACATGTAACAAACTTATAAAAGTTGTGAAAGAATTAAAAAAGAGTATAGAAGAACTAGAAGATGTTATTAAACTCACGAAAGAATTGAAAGAAGTTAATGAGCTTATAGATCAATTAGTAAAATATATTGCAGAATCAGCAGAAGATGAAGTAAAAGATACCTCAGAAGATAAAGTAAAAAATAACACAGAAGTTGATGTAAAAAATATCATAGAAAAATTAAAAGTAATTAATGAACTTATAAAAGAAATAATGCAATTTGAGAATTTTGTACATGAATTAAAAGAACTTGAGAAACTCCCAAAAGAAATATTAACGTCGACATTGAGAAAAGTAGACGAATTTATAGAAGATCCTGAAAAGAGTAAAACGTTTAAAGAAGAATATACAAGAATACTTAAAGTTAAATTGAAAAAAGTTAACGAACTTAACGTAGACGAATTTACAAAAGATCCTAAAAAGGATAAAGCGCATATAAAACTTAAAGCTAAATTGAAAAAAGTTTATACAAATCTTAAAGCTGAATTGGATAAAGTTAAAGAGCTTAACGAACTTGCTGAAGAATTAAAAAAAATTAACGGCCTTATGAAAGAATTGAAAGAAGTTAAAGAACTTTCAGAAGAATTAGAAAAAGTCAAAATGTTTATAGATAAATATGAAGATAAAGTTGAAGATGATGTAGAAGAAGGTAGTGATATAAATGAAATGAAAAATAACGAAAATAGCGAAGCAATTAATTCGAATAAAGAGAGTTGGTATAGTAAGATTATAAATAAGATAAAAAAATTTATGGCTGAAAGGGAAAAAGAGGAAAATGATCGTCAGTCAACACAAAAAAAAGGATATAAAAAGTTTTCAAAATGGTTAAAAGATTATAGAGATAATCAAATAACGACAGTATTATTTATTACATTAGCAGGAGTTGACATTACACATTTAGAATTTCTTGGTTCAAAGATACAAATTCGAATTCCTAGTAACTTCAATTTTCTTGAATTAAAGCGATCTCGAAGTTTTAATATTTATTTAATGCTAAATTATCTCGTGCAGCGGAACGTAAAATTATATGGGGAAAATTCTTTAACGCTCTTATCGGGGATATTTCTTTGATCTTTCTACAAGTATGTAATTATTTTTTTGTATTGATTTTTATCTTTTTATAAAATCAAACATTAAAGACTTATTTGTTTTTTAATAATAGTTTTTTTATGTGACTCGGGTTGTGTCACTTGGTTACACACCTGTATTTTAAAAGCTAGTATTGATCTCTTTCGCAAAGGATTTACTATAATTAAATATGTACGCAATAAGAAGGTTACATCAAACACATTATAATATGCGCCAATTTTTTAACAAATATTTATTTAGCAAAAATTTTGATTTATTATTACTATTAATATTCCATCAATTTGAAATGATACTAAGTTAATAAATAAAATTGTACGGCGGCTTCTAAATACTTATTATTTTTAAAATGATTTTAATTGTTTGCAATTATCTATATAAATACGTACGTGAAACGTGAAACAAAATCTTGTCATATAAATTCTCAATCCTTATTGTTATTCTTTGTAATAATTGGACGTACATTTATTCTTATTCTTGAATCAATTCACAAACAAAAGAAATGTTCCCAGTATCGTATACGCGACTTTAAAATATATGCTTTATTTATGTGACACCGGCCGAGTGAAAATATTTTGATGATAAACGAAAGCATAAAGAAAATAATCATAAAAGAAAAAGAAATGTCTCAGCCGCCAACCGGCGATCTGCGATATTTCATTAACGAGACTAAAGAATAACGCTAAAGACAAACAATTCTAAACTAAAACTCTGATCTTTCACTCCCTTCGTTCTTTAGCTTTTTGTATATCATTGTTATTTTGTATATCTTAGATATAAATCATGTTTCGTTACATGATATACAAAAATATAAGTTATTCTTAGTTATTCTTAGTTTAAGTTATAGTATTCTTGCACTGCGGATTGTCGATCATATCGATTACATAATCTATAATTTATTAAGATGTACCGATAATTTTGGTTACACTAGTGTTAATTCCGGCCGGCACTATAAGTTTGGCCTGAGTTAAAAAATTGTAACTTTAAAATTTGAGCATCTTTCTTATGTCCGGAATTGGATTTTTTTCAATAATCATATTCACATTATACATAATATATTCAAGAAATTTTGGAAATTTTGGACTTGGAATTAAGTATAGTGCGATCCAGAGTTAGATTTTGGCCTGCATTATAATCTACTAATTACATATATGTACCGATATTTCAATGTACCGATACTTTTTCCCCAAACCGGAAGCATCGGTATATCGAAGTTTGACTGTAGTTATTTTTTTTTTTTTGATCCAAATGAGGAAAACAATGTCAAATTATCTACATGTGTACACAAATTATTTTAATTATACGCCAGAAATCAATCAATTGTGATCGATCGATCATACTTCAATGAAATTAATGAGTTTCGTATAACAATATAGTGATCGACATTCGACAACTTGATAAAGAATCACAAACTTTATCGATTAATTCAATAAAATATATACTGTATTACCGTTGACTGAGTTATAATTTGTGATGGGCTTTAACGGTTTTATAATTCATTTTACAATAATAAGACCTATGACGTGTCCGTCCGAAGATGCAGTCGATCTACAGAAAATTAAATGTCTAAAAGAAAATAAAGTAAATAAAGATGAAAGATCTATAATAAAACAAATAACACATTAATATGATTAATTTTAATGATAATTTCACACGAATAAAAGTTTATTCAATTAATTTGACAACTTATTATCTTTTTAACGTTAATGTGGTTTTTCATATCAAATCTTAATGTAATAATGAGTTTGTTTTAGCGTCATAAACGCATATTGATTGATAAACGAACATTACGTAAAGAAAACAGTTTTGTTAGGTACTGTAGATTTCTCATATTAGAAAGTTCAAATGGAAGATAAAATTTCAAATAGAAAAATATTTAAATTTAATTGTATTGATCGATCAATAAAGGTTTGAAATATTATTCTAAAAAGTAATTATTCAAATCTGAGCTTCCACAGCGGGGTATACTTAGTAATGATGCAGCTTGATTCAAATAAAATCACTATTAAAAAAAAATAAATATACAAGATTGATTTAAAATAATTTACATACCTGAATAAATATTGCGGAAATATCTTTAATAATAAAAAGTTAGGTTAATAATAAACAATTAAAACTTTTTTGGTCATCATTTACAAAGTGAACTAATATTATAATGCAATAAATTAAGCCGGGAAATTACTAATTTTAGTTTAAAATAGTTAAAATGGTTAGCAACAACTTTTACTTAAAAGATCTTTTAAAAGTATGTCAAACTCCCCCATGAAAATGACCTCTTGTTTATTAAAAAATTATTATATAAATTAAAAAAAAAACATTATATATTAAAAAAAATTATATGAATTTATTTATTAAAAATCATTATACAAGGTTATTTATTAAATATACAAACTTACTTATCAAAATATATATTACATGAATTCCACCAAAAGTCTATTTTTTATTGATCATGGTCATGTGATTTTTCCATTCAATAATTGGTCATTTTGACTACTCTAACGTCATTTTGACACTTTTTTTTTCAGTATTACGAATAATTTTTACGGAAAGTTGCCTAAAAACGTCATTTTGATCTTTTTTTAGGTCAGTCAATATTAGAAAATGCTGCGGCTTGTTGAACGAACCTAGTTTATGTTACTTTCCTTATGTCTAATTTAATAAAAAATTCTAATGCTATTTTATATGAACAATTATCAGCTAGCTATCAATGAAAGAAATTTTATCAGCACAATAAGAAAAAATCATTCAAGAAGAGAAATTAATATTTTTTTTGGTGAAAAAATTGGATCATTATGACATAATTAAATTAACTATTATAAGCTGATCATATTATTAAATAGTAATGTCGGTTAATAAAACCTATATTATAATTATTGACTGATGAATCATAGATATCATAATAATTAATGATGAATGATACAATACATTGATTTAGTACATAGAATCTTGTAGAAAAAATTAGATATTATTGTAAGTGATACGATCAAATGACTCATGCAAAGAAATAATCATGCATCGGACCTCATTATGATCACAACACAATTGATCACAACACTTCACAATAAATTTTTCCCACATATTTTTTTTCAACGCGTAATTTTTAAATTTTTTTTTATTTTTTTATTATTCGTTCCAACCTTCCAAACTATCACTTTATGATGCCGAAACAAAAAAACCAACCAACGCCCTTTTACAAAAAGAATAAAGACCGACATAGTAAAAACAGAAAAGTTTGGAGAATTAAAAGAGCAAAGGAACACCAGGGTAGGTTTTTTTTGAAAAAAATAACCCACTTAACTATCACTATTATTTATTTGTTATAATCGGGTGTTTCGCTCGATTTTATTTTCTCTTGTTTATAATCGGGTGTTTCGCTCGATTTTTTTCTCTTCTTTATAATCGGGTGTTTCGCTCGATTTTATTTTCTCTTCTTTATAATCGGGTGTTTCGCTCGATTTTTTCTCTTCTTTATAATCGGGTATTTCGCTTGATTTTATTTTCTCTTCTTTATAATCGGGTGTTTCGCTCGATTTTTTTCTCTTCTTTATAATCGGGTGTTTCGCTCGATATTTTTTTCTCTTCTTTATAATCGGGTGTTTCGCTCAGATAAGTGTTAGTTAACCCTTTTCATTTTAAAGAAAATTTAAGGCGGCAAAGCGAACAAGCCACAACGATACCTTCGGTAGTATCTCCTTCCTATAATAATATCAATAATGAACTGATTGAACCGTCATATCAGCCAGTTGACGATCCTCCTACTTATTCGCGAGCAAATGTTGGTCGGGTAGTTTTATCTCAATTTACTGAATTTAGATGCTTGAGGGGTCATTTACATATAGATCAGGAGGATCTAGATGGGTGTTACAAGAAATTTATTAAGAAATATGGTAATGACGTTGATAAGTTTATGGATATTTATAGTTGTAATAGACTTGAAGCCGAAGATTTTATTTTAAAGTATACATGGTATAATTTTTGAAATATAATTTCAAAAAATCTTTATTAAAGCTGGACGAGACATAGAATTATAAATGCAATAACAATTTATCAGAATTATCCAAATCTTAGATATCTTAGTATGCCAATGAAGGAATAAAATTTTCCTGAATTTGAAAGGTTATTAATTAATTGTCAAAATTTAAATGGATTGATTTTTAAAAATGAAATATCTTTTAAGATAGGCATCCTATGATGTTACGAATCAATCGGGTGAATTTTGATGATAATCGAGAGGTAGAGAAATTAGAAGAGCTAGTTAAAAAATATGAAGTAAAAGGAATAGTTCAAAGATGTGACTTTGATTGTTTTTGTGATTATGAAGAATTTGATTGAATTTGAAGAAAACTAGATGTTTATTAGCTACAAGTATCTTATTATGTATAGAAATATCTTATATGTATATATATATATGGGCTTTATTAAATATAAATAGTAAAGATAATAGATAATACTTTTATGTGAAAAAAAAACAAGTTATTTTATTTAATATGATATAATTTTATCTTATGGTGTTAATTTCAAATTTTAATTACCTCACAGAAAAATTACTAATTGAAGGAATTGAAGGTCATGGTTATTGTCACACGTAAAATAATGATTACGAAAAACAAATCAAAGTAAAGTCCAACAAGTTATGTATAGCTAAGTTTTCACCTTTTACACGACTTAAAATATAATTTTCAATATCACCGTTATTCTTAAAAGAAAACATAAACTATCTTTAGTATTGTCATTAACATTGACATGCTGAATTAATCTCGGAATGGATCAATTGATTAAAATTACAGATGAGATAGAGGATATAAATATAATACAATTGAATGGGAATCTAGTGAGTTATAATGATTTTGGAATCAATATTATTTTTCTTAATAGTAATACGAGATTTGATCGTTTAATTGATTGATTGTTAGAATCTAAAAAAAATATTTTTTTGTCAAAATTTTTATTTAAGGATTTGTAGATTCATCAAAATAGAATTATAA